TGAACTATAAAGTGCCTTGAGATGACATGTTGTGAATTGGCGCTATATAATTAAATTAAATTGAAACAAATTGAATTGAAGATAAACATGAGTCTTTGTGGAGCCTTTTTTGTTTGGGAAGAGCAACCAGTCCACATCATCACATATCCACACTTTACAGCAGAGAGGAATTTCTTTTCTACACGTTGATTTTAATGATATAAACATAATTACCTGGAAATAACAATGGTCATCATTAAACATCACCACATTGCGGCTGGAATCTCATTGGTTATGGTTTCATTTATTTTGATTGGTCTGTTCTGTTTTAGACCGGATAGTATTAGCAGTACCATAATGACTTACGCTCCGTTTAAGCCAATCTAGCTGGCATTGCTAAGGGCTCCTGTACAGCCTGTACACTTTGTTAATGCATTTTAACCCCTTTTCTAGCTGTAGAGTAGGGCTAAAGAAATAATTGGATTAGATCTGATTAATCAACGATTGAAATAATAACCAGACTCTGATCATGCCATTAGCTAGAAGAGCAACCCACTCAGAGCACTAATTATGTCATTATAGTAGAAAATACACAAACAATTTGCATTTAGGATGAAAAACCTTTTAGTCCAATAATCTGTCTAGAACTCCTCTAAGCGCATAGTTTAATCTTCACTAGGTTGAAATTATGTATTTAATGGGGGCACCTGTTGCTATTGAATATTTGTTTATCAATAAAAGATAAATGGCATATTAATTAGTTGGCAAAATAATAAATATAGATATAGGTTTGGAAAATTTCTATTTTTTTCATTAACATTTCCTGATTTACAAAGTTTAACACAAATATAAACTAGAAAAAGAGGGTGCAGACCTCCGCCAGACAGCAAAGTTTGCCCCAGATTGTGATTTACACCTGTAGCTTAAACTCACATATGATCTGAATCATGACCAAATGTTCTGCTCTCACCTAAAAATGTAATCAAAATCTGTACATTACTTTTCCTGTTATCTTTTACACAGACAGACAGACACACAAACTCTCCTAAAAATATAACCTCCTTGGCGAAGGTAATAACCTAATTCACAAGAAAGCTGATGTAACATTGTAACAACCTCCTGGTTCCCAAACGGAATTGGTGACCTATTTTATCTATTGCATTTGCAACAGGGACATCTCTAATGATATATTTGTATTTCTACTTGATCAAATCTTTATTCAACGGAAATTATGCAACTTAAAATTAGAAAATGAAAGCTTTTTGTGGGATATTTGAAGATGGAGGTCAAGAAGTCACAATGGAATAGGAAATTCCAGAGAATAAAGTCACTGTTTTTTTGTTGTGAAATTATTTTTAGATGGTATCTAAAGGTACGAGAAATGAAAGAAGTAGAAATTTCCCATAATCTACTTGTGTTTGTTTCATTCATTCCTTAACATCAAATCAATGCGAGTCATTTTCATGCAAAAGAAAAAATTCAATCTAACTGAATTCCAATCCTCATGTCTTGCCTCTCTGTGGATATGTCTGCATGAGGGAAGTGTGTGATCACATTTCCTGCCGCATACCAGTCTGAGTCACATGCACATCCTTGTAACCGTGGCAACAAAAACTCGCATTCATTGAGAAACAACTCTAACTCATAGGAGCCCTCTGTGTCTATGAATCACAATGACAGTGATTTAAACTGGAGAGATAACAACACGGCTGACAGCCGTATTTTATGTTAAAGTTTAACTTTGGGGTTCGTCTTTGTTCTTGCTATTGCAGTGTGCTGGTGAGGAGAACTGTGTAGACACCAGGACAGTTTACATTGGACATAAGCAGCCTCCTCCAGGAACCGAGGCCTTCATACAGCAAAGGTTTCCAGACAACAGAATAGTCTCTTCCAAGGTGGGTGTGGGGGAGTGATTCTGGGCAACAGCACCATTAGACAGAACACAGCTTTCTCACTAAGCTGAAACATCTGTTTCTTTAGTCGTTTATTCCCCCCTTTGTCTCTGCAAAGAGACGCTGTCATCTGTGACTCATGAAAATATGAAGCCATGCTTCCTATGCGGCCTTGACCTTAATATCATTCAATCATGTTTCTTTATAGCTGTATTTCTTTCTTTTGTTTTTTGCAACCTACAAAACAGTTCTCCTGCTGCGTCCCATGTTACAGTAGACATGCAAGGCTAATATTGTGTCTCTTCTGTTTCCAGTACACTTTTTGGAACTTCATCCCCAAGAACATGTTTGAGCAATTCAGAAGAGTGGCCAACTTCTACTTTCTCATCATTTTTCTAGTTCAGGTAACATGAATTTAACCTTAATGTGAACTAAAGTTTCCAGCAATGCTGCAAAAAAAGAAGTGGCAAAACAAATGACTAAATATTATAGTTGATAGCTACAGTTTTTACTCCTCCCGGCCAGTAAGTTGCGCATTTTCATATTTGCGCATTTGCCGGCTGTTTGAAAGCTAGTTGCCAGGTCTACTAATTTAACTTACCAGTTCAAAACAAAAGCTGAAAAACTCTGTGTGCTGTTTAAGGTGTTTTTGTCAAGGGGATCTTCATGGCTAAAGTCAATGAATCCATGAATACATAAAGACAAACTGCAGGTTTGCTTTCCTACCTAAAGCCAACCATGTTTAGCAGTGACTAGATGTTAGGGGTTTAAACTAGACTGTTACTTAGGAAAAAAATGCTTGTGAACATTTTTTGCGCATTTCTTGTAAAGTGTACTGGACCGAATTACATTTTTTGCTCAATGTGCTTGAGTTGCAAAAATCTCATGTTTAAGGGAAAACTGAATCTTTTGTGCTGATGCCGAATAAAACCGCATGGAAGAACCTACCTTTTAAGTATCGCACATTAAAATTAGGTTATTTACATTTGTTATGATACGAGCTACTTGGTTTTAATCAACACAGAGATTAAAATGGTTTTAATCTGCTGTGAACATGTCTGGCCTTTCCCATTTACCTTCACTGCAAGAATGTAGTTATAGGGCATTTTTTTTATAGCAACTTAAGTGAGTTTTTTAATCTAAACTGTGTCGTTCTGCCATTTTATAGGTCACCTTATTTTAATTTTAATTAGTATTTTCTAAGCATATGATTGTATCCGTTTTGAAACTGTGCTTTATTTAAGCCCTTAGCATCTCGATCATTATTTTTTTATTTATTGCAACAGATTGAAATTCTCCCAAAATAAATACTGGATATAAACAACAGTTGGATTATGCTATAGGAGAGGTGAAAGAAGCATTTATGTTTAATTCTAAGTAACACAAGTAAATGTCTATTTTTTAATAATGTTCATTGCTGTATTAAAATGTTTTTTGTAATTGGTTTTGATTTTGCAATCTTTGTGGGTGGGTCAACAGTTGATCATCGACACGCCCACAAGTCCAATCACCAGCGGTCTGCCGCTCTTCTTCGTCATCATAGTGACGGCCATTAAACAGGTGAGACCTAACCCATGTGCTTCACATGTCTGCATCCGGGATGCCGCCACACTTCCAACAGCTCTGCCTTTCTGGTTCCCATGCAGGGCTATGAGGACTGGTTGAGACATAAAGCAGACAACTCTGTCAACAAATGTCCTGTCCACGTGGTGGAGCATGGGAAAGTGGTCCGCAAACAGAGTCGCAAGCTAAGGGTGGGTAACCGTTCATCAATCTGGTCGCATTTAGCAGTAAAACAGGGCCAGAAATGCTAGATGTCTATGAGCAAAGAGTTTCATCTCCTCTGTCCACTGCAGGTTGGAGACGTGGTGTTCGTGGAAGAAGACGAGGTCTTCCCGTGCGATCTCATACTGCTTTCCTCGTCTCGGGACGATGGGACGTGTTATGTTACAACAGCTAGCCTGGATGGAGAGAGCAGCCACAAAGTGTGTTTTTAAGAGTTATTTCATATTTTCTGTTTCTGACTGCATACAGTACCTTGCAGATGAATTCATACCCATTAAAACCTTTTCTTATGTTATGATTTTCTTATGTTACAATCACAGCCATGGAGGGATTTTATTTAGATTTGATTTGATGGACCAACACAAAGTGCTGTTTAATTGTTTAATCAAAGGAAAGTGGTAGAAAGTTTTCATATTTTTAAAATTAAAACACTTGAATAACGTGGTGTGTTTTTATATTGAACTCCTTTGATGAATTCTAAAATTGTAAAACATGGTGGTGGCAGCATTTTAAAGGAACTTTTTCAGAGTTTACAGGTAGATGGATGGAGCTAGACACACAGAAGGACCATAGGAAAATCTGTTAGAGGCTGTAAGGACTTAAGAATGAGTTTAATGAGTGGCCTAGTCAAAGTCCAGAGGAAAAGCCTCCTGAAAATCATGAAAAAACTTAACTTGATACTCATAGATGCTCTCCATTTAATCTAAATTGGCTGTTTGTAATAAAAAGAAAAAGATTAATAATGTTCTTTTGGTTAGAAATATGATTATTGTTATTTAAAATGGTTATGCGGTGAGTTTGCAAAAGCAAAATGGCAATAAAAGAAGAAATCATTTCTCTGAACATGGGTAGTCGTTAAATGTTCTTTAAGAATAATAAATTTAATGATATTTTGTAAAGAAATATAAATTACATTAGTAGTGAAACATATTTGAACAATTGACATAAATAAAAATAGAAAATATTTGAATTATTATTAAGATTATTAAGCAGAAAAAAGGAAATTAAATAATTAAAACTAATATGAACACATTTTAATGCAGCTACTGAAAATTCCTGTACTTTATTTAGTTTAGACTTTAGGCTCCAGTTGGTTTTGGATTTGATGGTTGTTTGAATTTAAAATAGTTATTATTGTAATCTACCTTTTTTGTTTAAAGTACATTCCTACTATGAAAAAATACCTAATATCGCTTAATAGTTCTCAATAATGAGCCACTTTGTGTTGCTCTGACTCATAATATGCTAAATATGCGCATTGCTAATATGTGACAAAATGTGGAACCCTGTAACTACTGAAAGACAAAAGCATAGAAACAGTTTTTTTTTGTTTACTTTGTGTCTCCCTAATCTTAGTCTGTTATTTCCTGCAGACATACCATGCAGTGCAAGACACCAAAGCCTACAAAACGGAGGAGGAGGTCAACTGCATCCATGCAACTATAGACTGTGAACAGCCGCAGCCAGACCTGTACAAGTTAGTAGAACAGATCCACAGCTTTGACTGAAGCTTAACATCAGAAACATTTCTGATCTCTCTTCTTTCTGTGCTCTTCTTCATCCAAAACAGATTTAGGGGCAACATCAACATTTACATGGGAAGTGAGCCTGTGTCCAGGTATTCTGAACATAACCCTTATGAATGTCTCTGGGAAAGATCCGTGAGGATTAATTTAGACTTAAATACCAGCATCACATTCTGAAAAAAAACTTTCAAGTTTAATCTTCAGTGAAATTTTATTTGATGTTCAGTTTAAGGAGCTCAACACCTCTGAATTAATACTTTGTTGAAGCACCTTTTGATCCAGCTGATGTCTGTCAGTGTTTTCTCATTCTGCCTGGCAAATGTTTTCCAAATAATCAGAGGTTTCAAAAGTATTAATGTGTATTACTGAAGTAGAAGTATAAATCCTACTGTTTAAAAATACTTTTTAGAAGTTAGAGTATCAAATTAAGCTTTATACTCAAGCTAAAGTGTTAAAAATACAATTTTTAAAACTACTTAAAGTATAAAAGTGATAATCATTTCTGAAAAAATGTTAAGCACAGTTGCTTTACTGCATTACCCTAGTATAGGAACTTTTTTTTGTTCAGTTCTGGATGATAACTTCCTTATACTGTAATTAATTTTCTTAGTTATATAACTAATGGCAACAGTGTTAGATTTAACTTTGCATCATCTTGAAAAAACATTTATTTTGGTATGTGGGGAAGAACAAGTTGGTGCAGCACCGAGTCCAACCACAAAGAAATTAATTGTCTGGATAAAACATATTATTTTGATGTTTTTTTATTTTTTTTAAATACCAACAGGCCATAACGAAAATGAGCTCAAATCAAGCAAAACTAACGAGTCTATTTTTAAAATGTAAGGAGTAAAAAGTAGTGATAATTGCAAAAAAAAAAATGTAAGGTAGAAATAAAAAGTTGTCTAAAAATAATTACTCCAGGAAAGTATAGATAGCCAAAACTTCTATTTGAGTAAGGTTACAAAGTATTTGTAATTTGTAACTTGACACCTCTGCAGCTAATGCATTATAAAATTGTACTGTTCCTCTCCTGAGGTCATTCTTGTTTTGATTTGGAGGATATGCTTCCACTTATTGAGATGCTAGAAAGAAAAATTATAATTTTCATCATCTTTCTACCAGATAAATTTAGTTTATTTTAAGGACTGACAATTATTTAGACTGACTGTAAATCCTCCAACTGAGTTCTGTCACAATCAGAGCTTGCTTTTTAAAAAAAGTTGTTGAAAAGTTTTTAAATTGAATCAAAAGGTGCCTCAATCAATATTCATCAAAGGGTGTTATTACTTGTGCAACCAGTTTGGAAAGTTTTTATTTTTTTCTAACACTTGATTATAGCTGGTTATTAAAATTGAAAGTGAAACATATTTGTTTAAACCGTCTATTTACTATTATTGTAGCCTGTTTTTGTAGCAGGGCTTTGTGAACAACTGCAGTTACTGCAACATAAATAATGTGTATATTAATGCATTTTCTTTTTTAATAGAGTTGTTGTTTGGAAAAACATCACTGTTTTTGCATGCATCTGTACTTTTTGCTACATCTTGAGTATAATTGTGTGGTTTTGTAATAAAACCTAATTATTATGTGCATTCTGAAGAAGTGAATATCTCTAATTACCGTAAGTGTTTGCCCTCTGTAGGTCTTTAGCTTCTCAGAACTTGCTGCTTCGTGGAGCAACACTGAAAAACACTCAATATATTTATGGTAATAAACACAAAGTACATTAATTATTTTAAAGGCTGATAATGAGGGTGTTTTAAACTACTTTCGTGTTACATCAAGGTGTTGCTATCTACACTGGCATGGAAACCAAGATGGCTCTCAACTACCAGTCCAAGTCCCAGAAGCGATCTGCGGTGGAAAAGTAAGCTCCCCGATCTCACATTTTTAATCTAAGAAGCAATGACTTTTAACTGAAAGCGTTCTCTGTTAGGGAATCTTTTGCTTACGCTGGATTAGATAATTGTCACTTTTTTAATGCCTGTCATTCCATCCATATAATCACATCTCAAACTGTCATTTATTCACTGTCTGCTGGTTTGTGCGTCTCTTTGGCTCGCTGCAGTGATTCAATCTATTTTCTTCCATCTGGCGCTGATAGACTCTTCTGTCCAGATGGCTTGTGCAAATGACTGACTGTAGGTGGATTTCATTAAGAGTTTGTTACTGTGCGATGGATTACTTTAATAGCATTTGTCTTCCTTTCATCAAAATGAACTATTTTTTTGTGCCAGTGCTATAAAGATGCTGCTTTTTTCAAGCTTAGGGACTCAGAAAACATAGCAAGACTAGAGTATTAGGTATATGAAACTGCAGATCAAAGAGTTATCCTATTTTATAGTGTGAAGAAATGTAGAGCTAATATATCCAGAATGTGGCTGCTTAACAGAGCTATAAAAATAGATTTTTTTTTGCACAATTCGTCCTAAAATAAAACATGTAGCTGGGAATTATTACCGGTAATGAATGCACATAACTTTACAAAACAGTGCAGATGGGAAAGTGCATTTATTATTTTAACGATTTAATTAAGCTGCTTTATTTTCAGGGTGAAATAGATTTAATATGATCATTAAAGGATAATAAAAAAGGAAGAAGGAAAAAGTATGAAGATAATTATTCCAAGTAAAACTTCAGTTGTGAAAAATAATTGTCCCTTAAATCTAATAACTGGTTGGGCTACCTTTGCAGTAACAACTGGCAATGATTGCATGGTTTATGAGGCAATGGTTGTTTTATATCTCTGGGGGAACTACGAACAAACTTTTGGTATTATTTATCAATCAGAATTGTTCACTACATTTGTGGACCGAACATCAATGTGACTTTTATCCTACTTTGCTGTCAATGAAGGCTTTCTAGATAGAAACGCTGTTACCTAAGAGGACGACCAGATTGAATTGGTAAAAAACTGTTAACCGTTTTTCTGATTCAATCTGAAGGGGAAAAAAATCATGATTTTTGGATCAAACGACTCAAAACAAATTGGTTGTTCGAGTTTTTGATTTTTTTTAATGATACAATGTTTAGTTTATGCTAATAGCTGATCGTTTGCTTGTAGTTTTTACTATCAGTTCCATAATTAGTCTTTTTATTCCACCTATTTTATGCAAATTAGGTTTTTCTGTTTGACCTCCACTCTGAGCTCTTTAGCTCCTCTTACTCTTTGCTGCTGCATCCTTTCTGTCTTGCTATGCCATGTTCTACTGGTTATTTTTTCTATGCCAACATGGCAAAAATACTTTCATTAGCAAGAGAAGATGGATGGATGGAAAAGGAGTTTACAATCTAGACAAATTTAGTTTCTTATCTTTTATTTGCTTTCTTTGGTTTTCAGCATAATTTGTTTGGTTTTTTTCAAGCCTACTTCATGTTTTTGTTGTACCTTTATGCAGTAAGAAGTTAAGTGATCTCTTCATTCTGTTACTTAGAGGGGTAATCAGGCCATGGAAACTTTCCCCAGAGCAGTGAATGTCTCACCAGCTGCTCCTTGTCTCCACCTGCAGGTCAATGAATGCCTACCTGGTGGTTTACCTGTGCATCCTCATCAGCAAAGCCATCATCAACACGGCGATGAAGTACGTGTGGCAGGCCGACCCCAACAGAGACGAGCCGTTTTACAACGGGAAAACTGAGACAGAGAGGCAAAGACATGTTGTGAGTTTTTAACAAACTTCCTTTAAATCTGTTTTTCAAAGGTTCCTCATCCTCTGGTACTTTCCTTCATACTCCTCTTAATCCCCCCCTCTGTTTCTGTAGCTGATCAGGGCGTTCACAGACTTCTTAGCCTTCATGGTGCTTTTCAACTACATCATCCCTGTATCCATGTACGTCACGGTGGAGATGCAGAAGTTCCTGGGCTCTTATTTTATCATGTGGGACGACGAGATGTTTGACGAGGAGCTGAGAGAGAGGGCTGTAGTCAACACGTCTGACCTCAATGAGGAGCTTGGACAGGTATCACTAGAAGAGCCACTTGGCTTGGTTCAGACCACTGGATGATAAGTTATTTATGAATGTAGTTAATCAGTGCCAAACTTAAAATGATAATATATTACACATGTGTGTCTGTTTTTCCAGGTGGAGTATGTATTCACAGACAAGACGGGGACTCTGACAGAGAACAATATGGAGTTTATAGAGTGCTGTGTGGACGGAAACGTTTACGTACCTCATGTCATCTGTAACGGACAGGTAATGTAAACATGGAGCGAGGCAGTCAGTGGTTTCTGAAATATCATTCACAGAAAGTGAAAGTAGGCATTGGCATTTATTGGAAGTAATTTAAGATGTAAAAAAAATATATGTAGATATTTTCTTTCGTTTTATTTCCTTAAATTGATGTTGATTATTATATCTCACTAACTAATCATTTTGAGTCCATCAACTACTTATGGGTAAATAGCTAGGGGAAAAAAACAAAACATTAATCAGAAATAAATGTTAATTTGAGCTATTTCCTCTATTTCCTCCACTATCAGGGTTTTCCCATGAACTGCAAAGCCTCTGGACTCAGTCTGGGCTCGATTTGCATGAATCACTGTTTTGCGGTGTGGCATGAATCCTGTGGTGTTACTGAGGCATCTGTGGTTGCATTAGTTGTGTTCTACTTCACAATCCTTAGTGCAGTTATGGCAAATAACTTATACTACATTTATGCATACATTAATACGCTGTCAGTAGTTATTCACATTGCAGCCATGACTGCGTTGGGAACTGACAAACAAAAAGACAAAGTCAATATTAAGGGCAGTCCATGCCGTCCGTGAGCGACAGTCGTTTTCTCCTGGCATTTTTCCACAATCTGTTGATAGTGGTGGTATTTGTATTTGTTTTTCAGCGCGGATTTGTCGCCGGAATGAACGCCGTTTACTGAATGCGTTGATATTTTTAGTGAATGGTGAACTGAACCGATCAGTTTTTAAATTATTAGCAAATAATAAGCAACTCTATTGAAATAATTTTTTCTCATTATTTGTGCACTTTCTTCTACCACACTACTTCCTGTCTCTGACCTTTCTATTTCATTGTTTTCAAACAGCTCTGTATAAACAGCTGTCAGATTATTATAAACAGATTACATGAGAAATGGGTAACAGGTGCAAAAGCGGCTCATATTGTCCTATTATATGTGCTGCTTGCGGTTTTGATGAAACAGGGTGGTGTAAAAGAAATACAAGGTATTATTAGAAAATGAGAAAAACAATATAATGAACTTTACATGTAGGTATTTCAAACGTTTAGGTGAAAGTAGAGATTAAATATTAGTCATAAAATCTGGAAAAGCAGACTTTACCAGCTCCTCCCTCTGAGGTACAATCCGGAAAACAGGCACAGTCACATATGAAGTTGAATGGAGCTCTAAACAGCTGGATTTACCTCCACCAACTCATCTGCTTCACCCAATATACTAAAACCTAAGCAGGTCAAAAGTCATTTAATACAACATAATTGAAGGATAATCATACAATTTGTTTCCTTATACATTTTTTGATGGGATTGATTACAAATAAAAAATTTACACAGTCATAGCATGAATATTGTTTTTGCCAGGTGATGCCCGGTGCTTCTGGTATCGATATGATCGACACATCGCCGGGGCCTGACGCCAGGGTGAGTGTATTTAACTTTCTGGCAGTCTGAAGTTGTGTGTGAGGATATAGGAGTGTAACACTGCCATTCTTACCTCGCAGGAGCGTGAGGAGCTGTTTTTCCGGGCGTTGTGTTTGTGCCACACGGTGCAGGTGAAAGAGGAGGAGACGGTAGATGGGATCAAGCATGGAATCCACCAGGGGAAGTCCTCCTCCTTCTACATATCATCCTCTCCTGATGAGGTGGCGCTGGTGGAGGGCATGAAGAGGTGGAGCAGAAAAAAAAAAAACACATTAAAGAAATTAGATTTTAACTCTTTTAGCCACCTAACCTTTTAAATGCTGTGTGCTTCAGGCTCGGTTTCACCTATCTGCGCCTCAAGGACGGTCATATGGAGATCTTAAACAGGGAGGATGAGATAGAGAGGTGAGTGTTAACATAAATACACCAATAATAGCCACTCAGATGTTAAGCACTTTTCTACTCTTATGTAGTTCATTAAGGAATTTAGTTAGCAAAATGGAGTCTATGATGTCTATGATTCTACACTGATTAAATTATTTTACATGGAAGAAAGTGAGGAGCATAAATAGATTAATTTATTCATTTGTTTGCAGTTAAATCTTACCTTATTCTCTGTCTGGTCTTGGCTAACGTTCATCTTAACGGCCTTTGTTCCAGTTGTGTGAGGGTGATTTCTTCCTGTTAAGATTTTTCTCACAGAAGCGTCCGTGTTTGTTGAAATCTTTTGATTCTTAGAAGTTAACTTAAGTATTATTTCTCTTTTTTTTTAAATCAGGTTTGAGCTCTTAGAAGTTTTGACTTTTGACTCGGTGAGACGGAGGATGAGCGTTATCGTCAGATCCAGCAAGGGTAACATCTAAAATACATCGTTCACTTTTACCCTGTGCTGTTGTTTGTCTTTCTATCGCTCAGGTGGTATTTTTGCTTTTTCTATGAGCAGGTGAGCTGTATCTGTTCTGCAAAGGAGCCGATTCCTCCATCTTCCCCAGAGTTATCTCAGGAAAGGTGGAGCAGGTGAAAGCAAGGGTGGAGCGCAATGCAGTGGTAAGAGCACAAGCAGCCACCCTTCAACATTATGTCAGGGAGGTGAAGGAAAAACATTAAATTCTTTTCATTCGGGAGGTTTTTCTGGCTTGAAAGATTGTGCAGTCTTTGTGGTTTCCACAGTTACAGTCATGACCACAGTTTCCAAGGCTACCACAGGAGGTGTATCACTGAAGCATGACCTACATCGATTCAAATTTCCCTACAGATGTTTTGAAATGGTTTTCTATGAGATTGACAGAATTTAAAATATCCAAGAGGTTTGAAGACTTTTGTAATTTCCTCTTTGTTGTAAACATCTTTACTTTAAATAATCTGGAAAAGTAATTTAAATCCTGTGAGAGCTGAATCCATTTAAAGAGGTAGGTCTGCAGAAGGATCCACTGCAGACAACAGAGGGAAGGTGAGCCCTTATGTGTTCTGGAGCTCAGTCTGAGCCGATGTCTCACCTTCCCTCTCTAGTCTGAAATGGATCCTTCTGCCAACGTTTTATGAGTTTAGTTTATTTCTTCCACACCTGCAGAATAATAGCAGGCACACCATGCAACCTTTGGCCACTAGGGGCGCTTGACCTGTAACTGCCCGTGAGTTTTCTACTACTAAACATCCAAAATAATAAATATAAATGACTGTATACTATGAGCAAATTGTTAACTTGCCACTCTAATAATAAAGTTGAGAGAAGAGAATTAGTTTTACATCTAAACTCCTTTCCAATAATGACTTCTTTTTTTTCTCGCGCATGATCCCTTTTACGTTTTCTCTTTTCAGCCTCCTTCGAAGGTTTTAAACTTAGCCTTAGCTCCATGACTATATAAGAGCCTGTGTCCATAAAACGATACGTTCTTCCAGGTCACATGACCTCGCCAATGATGGTGTGTCTTCTCCCAACTTACATAGGCAGTATTTCAAGAGGAGAGCCCCGTTCGTAGCATTAATAATGTAAAGTGCTGTATATTAGCCTGAGGAATCATTTAAAATAACAAATATGCATCAACTATTTAGGTCACAAAGTGTGACGTCTGCCTTTAAATTGCCGAAATAGTCCAACATAGCATAGTTTTTGTAATTTCAAAACTTGTTTGTTCCCCCTACCATACCTGAACTGCTTTTTCTCTGGTACGTTACCGTATCGTACAAAAACCTCAACTATCCCTTTAAGATCCAATTTGTTTTGGTTGTAATGGGGCTTAGGAGACACATTAACAATGTTAAGTTCTTCTATTATTGTAGTTTTTGTTTTTTGTCTTAGCTTTCATTGTCTTAAATCTTGTTTCTAAATGTTTCAAAAATCTTTAAAATCAGCTTTGGTTGAGGTTTAATGTATGTGTGCTTGTTGAGCTGCCATAGATCAGGTGATCTATGGCAGTAAAAAACCAGGTCAATAAGACCTTCCTCTCTCTCTCTGTGGTTGCAGCAGCAGATAACTCACAGCTTTCAGTGGAAATGAAAATGTAGGTTGTGGGTGTTGAGTTGATGAGCCTGGAACAGTGAGAGCTGCTGGTGCCCACACAGTGCACTGGCCTGCTGCCGCTCAACGTCTTTGTTTGCAAAAAAGCAATGTTTAAACTCCTGTGTACACCGTGTTCCCTTCAGGAGGGGCTGAGGACGCTTTGTGTCGCTTATCGGCCTCTGAGTACTGAGCAGTACGAGCAGGTTTGCCACCTGCTGACGAGGGCGAAGTTGGAGTTCCAGGATCAGGACAAACTGGTGGCCGAGGCTTACGACCTCATTGAGAGAGACCTCATCCTGCTGGGAGCCACTGCTGTGGAGGACAGGTGTGAAACCCATGCTGTTAAATAAAAACCCCAGATTGTGTAATATAGAAAAAACAGCAGCCTTTCTGCAACCCCCATTATCTCAAAGCCGTGTGATGAGGAAGAGCTGCCCTAGTTTTGAGGAGAGTTGCAGCTCCCTCCAATTACAAAAGCAGCAGAAGCAATCAAAGCACAAACTGTAAAGGAAGTGTTATTCCACAGGGTACAATGAGTTGACTCACAATAAAGAGAAAATGACTTGGATGATGTTTCTCTGCACTTTTTTTGCTGTAATTCCATCATTTTAAAATAGCTGAACCATCCTCTTTGCTTTCTTTATTTATCTGCTTCCTCCACAGATTGCAGGAAAAAGCTGCAGATACAATAGAGTCTCTCCATAAGGCAGGTATGAAGGTGTGGGTTCTGACCGGGGACAAGATGGAGACAGCGGCTGCAACCTGCTACGCCAGCAAGCTGTTTCGCCGCAGCACCCAGATCCTGGAGCTCACCACTAAGCGGACAGAAGAGCAGAGCCTCCATGACGTCCTGTTTGAGCTGAGCAGGACGGTCCTCCGGCATTATGGAGCAATGCCCCGCGACACATCTTCTGGGTGTGTGTTTTCTGCAGAACATTACTTATTTAAAATATATTGGTGTATTATTGTGTTGGAATGGTACATTAAAATTTGCAAACATTTGAGAGTCTAAAACTTGGTGTGTTCCAGTTTGTCTGGTGAATATACCGACTACGGCCTGATAATCGATGGAGCCACCCTCTCTGCTGTAATGAGGCCCAGCCAGGAGGACTCAAACTCAGGGAATTACAAAGAGATCTTCCTGGAAATCTGTCGTAACTGCAGCGCAGTGCTCTGCTGCCGAATGGCTCCTCTTCAGAAAGCACAGGTAGAAACTGTTGAATCAACCACCATTTAAATAAACATAGAGATCTTGTGCAAAAGCAATAATTGCTGGAATGCAATTATTTTTCTTTTACTTACTCAGATCGTAAAAATGATCAAAGCTTCCAAAGAGCATCCGATCACCCTCGCCATTGGAGACGGTGCAAATGATGTCAGCATGATCCTGGAGGCTCACGTTGGCATCGGTTTGTGTTTTTCCAATATAACCAAACCATTAATATTCAACTGAATCACTTTTTACTCCTTTCTTTTTTACTGCCCTCCTTTCCAAATTTGTTCCCTTTATTGATTGGAATGTTTTATTTTTACACCATTCTTGTTGTTTTTGAGCATTTTCACATTTTGTCACATCACAACCATATAATTGAATGCATTTTACCATGCTTTATGTGGAATAAAAAAAAATCAATGCTTTTAAAAAAAGGAATTTAATAAGTTAAATCTTAGGAGTGCAGTTATCCTCTCTGAATCAATAATTGCTACAATTATAGTTGCTAGAGTTCTGGAATGTCATCAAAACATCTACTGACTGAAATCGTTACCTAATCCTCCCTGCAAAAACATGTCCTGCTTATTCAGACTGGATGGAGAGCATCTGTAAACATGTTACCGTATGTTGAAGTTCTACCACAGATTAATATTACTGGACTTTGACTAGACCATTCTTAGACCTACATTTATTGTGGTCTAAATGGTTATATAGACATTTCTTGAGTGCACACTGATGCTAAAAACATTGTTTAGATTTTTATTTGTGAAGAGTGTCTGAAATGTATGCATCACTACATAGTTAGATCTATATAGTATTGTGAAATGGTAAAAGAGAAATAAGTATTGTCCATCATGCTGAATGCAGGAAATTAATTATGTCTTCATGTAATTTAGTTCTTATTGGATCAGTTTATTTTCCTTCTAAATCACCATCATTATAAATCAGCTTTTCAAATAAAAGCCACAGATTCTCACTTCACTTATAAAATTATCCTCTGCAGAGAAACATGACTAATACCTTCAGCTAATGTGTTTTCTTTGATGTGTTTCCCTCTAGGTATTATGGGTAAGGAGGGTCGGCAGGCAGTAAGAAACAGTGACTACGCTATCCCAAAGTTTAAACACCTCAAAAAGATGCTGCTTGTCCATGGACACTATTACTATATACGCATCTCTGAACTTGTGCAATACTTCTTTTACAAGGTAATCCACCCGCCTCTATCTGATACGCAATGTTTGTACTATTCGAGAAAGTTTTGCTTGAGTCACAAAAATAACGTTTGGATTACTTTAGTGTTGATTAATTCATTAAAAGTCTATTTCTTTCACATTTAACCCAGTTATTGTTTTGAAACACCTTTATATGTTACTTATAATGAAATTATATTGTCTAGCAGAAATAAAACTCATATATTTTTTCATATTTATCTTTCCCCCAGAATGTATGTTTCATCTTTCCTCAGTTCCTCTACCAGTTCTTCTGTGGATTCTCTCAGCAGGTTGGCAATGATTACATTTTAGAGTCCTTTTAAGAAATTCATAACAAAAGAACAAAAAAAACCTCAAAACTCCAACGCTGCTCTGTTTTTCTCTAAAGCCACTGTATGACACAGCTTACTTGACGCTCTACAACATTAGCTTCACATCGCTGCCCATCCTGCTCTACAGCCTCATGGAGCAGCACATTAACATGGAAATCCTGAAAAAGGAGCCGTCGCTATATAGGTGGGTTGTTTTTTACTTCCATATACAAAATATCTTTCTTCTTTTTTCAATCAGTTGGATAATTTGAATAACTAGATAGATTTGATTTTTTTATTCCATTGTCTAAAAATGAACAAATACTTAATTTTTTTAATAAATGAAGGGCTTTTTACCTTTATTAATTTTAAAGCAGAGTAAGCTAGGGCCAGGAAACAATAAATTTTCACATTTTCACCTCTGAATTAGCATAATAGAATAATAAGAGAAGATGATCAGGTTGTCCTCCAGCATCCTAAACCTATGACAGCAAAACTAAAGGGAAAGCTGCATATCAAACTAAACAACTTTATTATAATAAAGATATTTTTAAACATGATAAACTAAATCTAGTTAAATGCTTTGAACTTAAATGTCCTGTATGATAATTATAAATCTGCTAGAGATTCAAATTTATACGTGTAGATTATTTATATCAAATGAAGATATCTTTATTTGGTGATTAAGGAGCCTCTCCCAGGCAGCGTGGAAACTTATTTTGTTTTTCATCTTCAGAGATATCGCCAAAAACTCGTTGCTAACGTGGCCCATCTTTATTTACTGGACTGTCCTGGGTGTGTATGATGCCATTGTGATGTTCTTTGGTGCTTACTTCTTGTTTGACAACACCACCTTCACCAGCAATGGACAGGTAATGCTGATGCCTCTATGACCCTCTTTTTCCAAATCAAAGAAAGCTTTGCTATATTCTTGGAGTTGATTTATTTCAGTAATTCATTTGGTAAAAAGTGAAACTCATCTAGCGTATGGAGACAGTACCTAAAGGATTATATGAGTTCTGCTCATGTAAATACACAAGTTATTTGGCATTTACAATATGGGGAAGATTGACGATTCATCAGTAGGCCAGCAGTCATTGTCGTCCTCCACATGGAAGCTGAACCACAAAAAATAATGACAAAGAATGTGGTACTTTTGATAGGAAAGTTAAGTGGAAGGAAAAAGTCTGGTAGAAAATGATCCACAAACAATGGCTAAAAGAGAGATTTCCCTCCCCATAGTTATGCCATATAGGTTCAGCAATTCATGCTGTATTGAAATCATTCACTTCAGTTTAGTGAACGGTGAAACCATGCTGTAGGGCAATGTTTTAGTTTTAGTCATTTATCCTTTAAATTAAAAAATTTTCATCAAAGATTTTTTTTTATTATTTAATCCGATTCCTAATGAACTAAAACAAAAAAAGGTGAAATTTATTATGCTATTACATTTTCACTTGCTCAATAAATCACTGAAATAAACAGACCTGCCTGGTTTATTGAGATGTAACTTCAGTCTATATTATTCACCTGTTGCTGCTAATAGGCCATTCCGTCTAACTAAAATTATGGATTTGTGTTTTTTAACTTTTCTCCTGCTTATTTTCTGTAAACTATCTTAGAAGGTATAGCGAGGAACACCTGACGGTTGTTTAGCTAACTTTGTTCTTGTGTTCGCATCCTATGGACTACAGCTTTTTCTTAATCTCCTTTTGGTTATTTTATTTTTAGCTGTCTTTTGGTTTTCTTAAAGCTTTAATCTTCTTTGAGATGCCTCATGGTTATATATCTTTTTTTAATCTCTAGTTATTTTCTCAACTAAATAAATTATAATTTTCTTCCTACCTTATTATTTTTCTTCTTCTGCTCTTACCTTTGTGTTGCTTGTTTCTTTTTGCTTCTTTCCTTCTTTTAGCTAATGACAACCAACACACAGATGGTAAGCCTGTCCCTGTCCCTCTGCCACCTAGTTTCACCCTCCAGTTTCCTGTTTCTTCCCCATCAAACATGTCCATAGAGGGCACCACTCACCTTCATCTCATATCATTTGCTTTAAGCTTGTAGACTTACCAGTTCAGGGCTTGTGTGTTTTCCACTCTTCCATGTTTATTTTTGTGTTACTTCATGTTGTATCATTGGATTCATTCCAAATCAGTAAAGACGTGTTCAATTTATCACCGGATGTCAGAAAACGGGTTATTCCCTTTAACAGTACTGCATTGTAAAGGTTATTGGCTTCAAGGAATGATGTTGGAAATACTGGATTGTTGTATTTGCACACCTTTAGAGGGGCAGCTTTTCATTAAAGGTATAGTGGAGGATTAGTGCAAATTTTTGAAAAGACCCACCCTCTCCACTTTAAAAAGAAAATGCACATGCACAACCCTGTTCCCGCTCCCGAGATGTAGCGCCTATTATACACGTCGGAGAGCGTGCACGAGCCCATTTCTCCTCGTGCACGCTCTGTTTAAAAGTTGCTGTTTGCATCGCTTATACAAGCTTACTTTCCCAAAGAAGATTTGCAATTTTTCCTCTATGTCAGACTATCCACCGGTAAGTTAAAATGGGGATGAGTACGTAGGACGGATCACCTGATTGATTGACAATTAGGAGGACCACTTATTTTGATGATTTACCCCCCCCAAAAAAAACATCCTCCACTACACCTTTAATATGACAACTGATTATAAGTAGATTATATGTGTACATGCAGAAGATGATAATCTTATGCCTCTGCTCCAGATTAGTTAACCCTAGGTTCTAAGGCTAACAGCAAAATAACAAAAGGACTTCTAACCTGTTGAAGATGTCAACTTCTAAAATCTCATAAAGGTTTAAGTAAATGCTGTTTTTTTTAACCTTCAAATTGCTATGTTTGAATTAGACATTTGATACATTGCAAAAAATTATCTAAAAACTTGACTTGTCCTTGATTTAAGAGGATAAATAAGATCATCTGACTGAAAGACCACTTTTGCTCTTTAAATATGATACTGGAGGTTATTTTTTCTTATTTTAAATGTACATTTTTTATTCCACTTGCAAGTTGTTTTACTTGCCTCCTCACTTAAAGGTAAATCATACTTATTATAAGAAAATGTGACATTTCTTAGATTTCAGTTTTGCAAAGAGATGCAAGCATGCTAAGTTATGCTCTGATAAAACATTTGTGCTTAAGTTTTGTAATTAACTTTTGTTAATTTACTTAAACAATCTTCAGTTTAATCTTCTAGAAATATTTCCTTTAAAGATGAAAACGAATGAGAACATTGTTCCCTTAGATTTCTTAAGTCTGTTTGATTGATTCTTTATAACAAAAGCGCTCCTAAGCACACGTGCTTCTTGCTAAAGTAGAACAACAACCTTTATTACTTTATTTAAAAAATTATGTATTTATTGCAACACATGTAAATTGCATACGCAATGCTGGTCTATGTTTTAACGAAATAATGTGTCGAAAATAATTGTTTTCATGAAAATACAGGTCATATGTTGATGACCTAAACATGCAAAATAGCAGGAGGAGGAATTTGACGTGTCAATCCTGAAACTAATTTTGGACCCAATTTTTACATCTATAAATAGCATTGTTAAAGTTAGGTGCAAACTCCACACTAAAACGTCAGCAGTCATTGTGACCACAAAGGAGGCTTTGGCAGAATGACAAAAGATGGAGAGAGAGTCTGCCCGCATTTGCACGTATTTGGCACCACCAGGAATAAGAAAAAGGAGAAACTTAGCACGTGAAAATAGAAATCTACCAAGGACATCAAAATGCTGCAGGATGCAAGCAATCTATATGCAAATAACCCAAAAGAAAAAAAAACACGACCAAATTTAAGTAATGTAGCATGTGTAATTGTGTAGTATGTTGCTTAAAATTATAAATGAAATTCATAATTTAGTTGCTGATCCGCCATACTTGAAAAAGTGGCAGGTATGATGTAGGCTTTCACGCATATTTCATGGCATCATACTAACCCTTCATGTTATGATCTCTGATGTTACTAAATGCAGCAAACACATAATAGCAACAGTAACAGCTATTACTGCTATTTTGTTTTATTTGCAGATGTTTGGAAACTGGACGTTTGGGACGCTGGTCTTTACCGTTCTCGTTTTCACCGTTACATTCAAGGTAAACTGCCCTAAAAACGGCTTCCTAGACGTTACTTGCACCTTCAGTCACCTTGTCTAAAGCCATCGTTATAAGTGAGCATTTGCCATGTGTCCCGTTTGTCTTTCAGTTGGCTCTCGATACTCATTACTGGACGTGGATCAACCATTTTGTCATCTGGGGTTCACTTGTCTTCTTTGTTGTCTTCTCTCTGCTGTGGGGAGGAATTATTTGGTGAATTGATAAAAATCGCTTATCATAATAATTAGTTTTGTAAAGACTCTTGTTCCTGTGGCTTATATTTTTCTTTTTCATCTCCAGGCCTTTCCTCAACTACCAGCGAATGTACTACGTGTTCATGCAGATGCTGTCCAGCGGTCCGGCCTGGCTCAGTATTATCCTGCTGATCACGGCCAGCCTGCTGCCAGATGTGGTGAAAAAAGTGTTCTGGAGGTCGCTATGGCCCACAACTACTGAACAAATACAGGTAGATGCATTCAATGGAAACAAAATTGAAATGTTAATGTCCATGGTTACACTGGATGATAAAGGAGTGAAGCCGGAAGGCTTAAATACGCCTGCTATACGATGATAGCTTGTTGGCTGAAGTATAATTTTGTGCTGCAGGAGGAACTGCTGCACAGAAAATTAACCTAAATTTATATTTTAAATAAACCTGAGCATAATAGAAAGTGGCTAAAGGAAAAATAAAGTCAGGAGTAGAGATCAGAAAGCTTAGTTTAGTTATTAAAGAAAAATTGTATGATAAAAAAGAAGAATCTGGAGGAGATCCAGGCAGAAGGTTCCTGAAAACAATTTAGTAAATGAATACATCAACATATATTTTTTTAATCATACTTTACACTACATATTCAAAATGTAGTGGGTGGAAGTTTACAGTTTATTTATCCCACCTGTTTTCCAGTTCAACATCAGTCTTAACATCTTTATCTTTCAGTATTTACAAATTACTAACATGCTCAGTAATGTACCTTTTACTAATAAACCATGGATTTCATCATAACTATCATAATTTAGGAAAAGTATTTCCTTATATTTCTTTTTGAACAGTTTTACATAATTTTACCTCTACAGACATTTGCATAATATAATTCAATTTACTCAATTAAATTAGTAAATAACCTGCAGACTTTAAATTCTTGCAGGTTATTTATTCCATCCCTTTCAACAAAAGGTTTTTGGATTTTTTTTTTTATTTTCTTACGTAAAAATTTAATTTTAGCTTTGAATACTAAGTGCAATGTTTGAAAAGCTGTAAGATGTGTAAATTTAAGACAGTTTAGACTTTAGGAATAGTTGATTGTCTTAGTGTAAATACTCGAGTTTGTGGATGAATCTTAGCACTCTTTTTCTGCAGTATAACTTATGACTACAAACTTTATAGTTGTTCCCCAGAACCTCAAATGCAATGAGATATAGTAAAAAAGAGAACAGTATAATTTATAGTAAGCTTCTTTCTAGTGGAGGAGAAAATGACTATATGCTAAGGTTGTGTGTAAGACTAATAAATGGTTTAGAGAAGCTCAAATGTTTAGTTAAAGTTCATAACTTTAAGGTTTATTTCTTCCAATGACTCCTAAAGGAAAATAGCTTTTAACTTTAAAGGAATCAACATAAATTTTCTAAAGAGAATCTTTTACTTTTAGCTGATGAGATTAAATATTGTGACCCTGTATTGGGAGAAAAAACTTTCATTTGGTGGGGTTGATGATTTAACAGAGACTGAGCTTAAAACAACCAACAAGGTTCTGAAGGATTTCCTGTTTTGACGCCAATGGCCAAATCAACAGACCTGCAAGGCCATGTGGAGTTATTAATGTGTCTCTACAGGATCGGCCTTTAAAAGTGAGGATAAATAGATGTTGACCATGTAGTTTTGTTGATTTTCTACAAAATGCCAGCTCTTACATCCATCTCTTAAACTTCCTGTTATAAAGTAGCTTCTCTTTTGACAGTAAACCGATGTCTACTTTCACTCTCTTACCTCTGATCACCTGACTTTCTGAAAACACTGACCTACAGAGTTGTAATTATTTGCTTTCCTTTATCCCTCTTTCCTTGAACCCGCTGTTTCCTGTTCCTCCTGTTAACCCTTCCCCCCCCACCACCACCGTGGAAGACAAAGCGTCGGTGTCTTGCCTCCGAGCCTTCCACCATCTTCATGCTGTCTCAGACCTCCAGCAGAATCAGTTTCTAACCCAGTCCTCCACGAGGTGATCCTCTGCCTTTCCTCTCCCCCCTCGCCTTTAAATAATCCTGCTTCCTGTTTTCCCGCATCTCGTACCCTCTCTTTCCTGCCTCCTTTGTTTGCCGCCATGCCTGCTCTTTTCAGCAATGTCACTTTAAGCGCTTCCTCTCACTCAGAGGATGAGCATGTTTATGCTTATTTGTTTGCCTATTCATTTAAAAGCTCCCATTTGTGTCTAGATGTCTGTATGTGTTAACTTGTGTATCCACAGCATGGGAGAAATATGACAAGGTTTGAGAGAACCCTGGCCTCCCCCAGTTCAGACTCATTACTAGATGGAATAGCTCTCACAGAAGCCTAAAAGGTCACAGCACGGTAAAACTTTGAGTTGGTGGATTGATTTTTAATTTTTTTTTCCTCTCGGGGTGTTTGGTGTCACTCATAAAAGTGTGTGATCTTAATTTGTAATCCTACACGGGTCATCCATGTGGTGGATGACAGGAAAAATACAGCGGCTTGCGAAATACTCACACCTCTTGAACTTTTTCTTGTTTTTCTCACACCAAAAGAAACAGACTTTGATATGTTTTGGATTTAATACTTTTCTCATGTAAAATCTCTATAAAATAAAGTCAAGTTTTTTTTGTAATATGTTGAAAACTGAAAAAGTTTAAGGTGGATGAATGCTGTGAGGTAAATACTGTATAATTCAAGCAGGGGATTTCTTATGTGAAGCTTTGGTGCCCTCTGGTGGTGGCTGCAGAAACAGACGGGAGACGTTCTCAACTGCATGTTCAGTGATCGTGTTTGCATTTGCATGATTTATTTTTGTTTTTATCAACGTAATATTGTTTCTATTGCTTTGTTTTACTAATTCATGTAAAGGTGAGAACATTTTTACAGTTTTTTTTCCATTTGATTTAGTTATTTTACATATTTTCTGGTTCAAAAGCTGATGAGTTAATAAAAACCACGTGCAGCACTTATCCTTCCTCTTTCATTCCTCAAACAGAATGCTGATAAGCTCTACAAGGGCCACCTGTCGGAGTTCACCCCCTTGGCGGTTCTCCACCCTCCACCCAAGGTCGACAGCCACCAGCGAGGCTCTGAAAACCAAAGGAAGGCCCTGAACCCACGAAGGTCTGAAACCCCAAACAGCAAAGTCATGTTCACACGCTGGCAAAGAAAGCCAGACTACTGCACCTTCTCTCCCCTGCAGTGGAGTCCGTACAATGGGGCAGGAACGGAGACATCTGTCTAATTTATTATTATTTTTTTTTTATAAATAAAAAAAAAAAAAAATAAAAAAAAAGAACTATATGGAGTTAAAGTGAGAAAAGAAGTTTGGATAAGCCGGAGTTGGACATCGGGTGGTATTCCTGACGTCAAGTCGCCGCTCGCTGTAAACGGGACGGGTTCCTAGCCACAAAGCCTCATTTGCCGCCATGACTTGCAAAGGGCTCAGTGTATTTATGTCACAAAAAATTCAAACAAAGACTCAAGAACTGTGATTTGACACTAACATACATGCGCTAGCCCTTTACTAATGTCTGCCTTCAGAAGCAGCTGAAGTGTACTTTAACTGTTATTCCTTTTAATTGTTTTATGTAGTGACACTGGGATTAGAATGATGATGAATCATCTCATTTTCTTGTCTTCAGCTCCTTCATCTCCTTCTCTCTCCTCTCTACCCCAATCTGCCTGTCTTCAGGAATAACTACTGTTGGCACGGTGCGAACATGTTGTCCAGAAACTCTCCCTAGGCTCTGCGCTCAGATCCTACGGCATTGTAAGGAGGCGTGTAGCAGAGGAGGAAAGCCTGAATGATGGAAGATCAGTTGGTTCTAGTTTAGCTTTCTGATGTGCAAATGATTAAAAAAAAAAAGACCAGCTTTGACTCCTCTTTCAAGCTTTCCTTCCACCTGTAGGTATTGTTGTCTGTTCTATGAGATAGATGATTGTGTATTTATAAAATGCTCTATATTTGGCTGTTTTGGGCTTTAGGAATTAGAGATGCACCATTCAGGCTTTATCTGGCAGACTGATTTCTGACAGGAGATACTGTAAAAAATCAAAGAGAAAATCATGTTGCCAAATTATTAACCAAAAAAACTGACCAAAAAAATGGAAAAATTACAACATTATGCTCATTTATGGATACACATACATTATGTCAATAATCCTTTTTTATGTATGTTAAACTCAAGAAAAAGTGAATAGAAGTTCAAACTTTCAGTTAATGTTTTTATAGAATGGAAAAAATGAAGCGAGTTTATTTTGTTTTGATGCTTTTTTAAGTACGGCTGATAATGAGATTACCTGTTCTTTGCTCAGAGGAGATGGAGAAAAAATGAGCAAATTCTCCCGGCTGATTGGTGCACCTCTAGTAGAGATAGTTTAGTGCTGCCTTATTTATTTATCAAAGCACTTTAATAAAAACTCAAATATTTCCTTAATGAAATTAATGTCACAAAGAGATTCCAAGTGCCCCAAAGTCCTAATGCCTTCATTAAAGTTTGCCTCCTCAGATGATCTCCATAAAATGTTGATTATAACCTAAATTCTGATCAAATAGAATTATAATAGAAAAATGTATTTAAAAATTAATTTTGCCGTCATGCAACATAAGATACTTTAAATTAGGATTTAAAATCCATAACAAATGATAACTTTGAGAAGAAAAGTTCATAGTTTTCAAGTATTTACCTCAAAAATTTAAAAGCAATGTATGTTATGAGCTAAATGATTTTATTTATAATTAAAGTTTTAAAAAAATATTCCTACTGCTGCTAAAAATACATCAAATGTAGATAATTAATATTTTTTAAATATAATATACCCTTATAAAAACCTGTTCACCCACCTAATCATTTTCATAGTACTCTAGTGGTCAGATTATATATTTTTTTTGCCGTTTCAGAGTCACTGCAGTAATGCTAGGTGTAAAAAATATTGATTTTAGCTAAAAATTTGAGCTTTACTCTTAGTTCGCTAGGCTGCAGTCTGCTGCTGAACAGATATGTCGCTTGCAGCTTTTCTGTAGATTTAGACGACAACTGTCTAAAAGTGATTATTTGCTATTTCTGGGGGCTTGCAGATGAACAACCTGTCATTGGGAGCTGCTGTTATTTAATACATGGAGCAGCCGCATAGCTCACTGAGGAAATGCACAGCGTAAAGTTTTAAATCATTGTTACCCTATTAGCATTAATGGCTGATGCTCCTTTATTTCCGCATTGACTGTTCTGCTTTAGCGCAATTTGATTTATTCCCAAAAATGTGTATTTCTCGTTACTGTCTTTCCACCAGTTGATCAGCAGCCTATATATATCTTCACACTTTCTTCTATTATTATAAAACTTTTAAAAGTAAACTATCAAAAAAGTTAATATACCTCAAATTTGTTAAAGATCTGACATAAAAAAAATTACAAACTGCTTGGAGGTAATAGAATTGCACCTTTCAACTTTCCTGCAGTCTTTGGTTTCATTAATTTGTGTTTTTTTTCAATCCTTTTATCTCCATTCTTCTTACGTCAATCAGATAATTCAGTGAATAAAAATACCACAAGTAGATGTTAAACATTTTATAACGTAAGCTCCCTGTATTAGTTCGTAGTCGTTGCCCCGTTATAAATCAGCAGTCCGGCACTTGGTGTGTAGCACATTGATGTTAGAATTAACAGCTTAATTATACAAACCATTGAACCATCACACAATATTTGTATGTATTATTACTCAAAGAACTTGGTCCCCCTCTAAAATGTGTAAGATAAAAGTATAACATAACAACAAACTTAAAAAATGCTATCAATGTTATTTATTTCCATGAGCAGTAGTTTTTGGGGTTTTCTTTAAGGAGTCATTTTCCCCAGATGAATCCCCTTAAAAATAACTGATTGCATGTCAGAAGGAAGCATTTTAACGGCATATATCATCTGTTCTATTTCATAATAAACTTTGCACTGTTCTGCATTTTTAAAAGATGGAAAGACAAGACTAACAATAGAAAGAGTGACAGAGATTACTAACCATTTAAAAAGAAGACAATGACCAGTTGCTATAAAAATAGTGATAACATTTTAAAGTCTGAATCTGAGTTACTTGAACATTTATGTGGTGATTAATAGGAAACCATGAACTTCTGTAAACTCATAACTCTATTGTTTTCTAATGTGTCAAAAAAAAAAGCTATCAAGCTCAGACAAGGCAAAAAGAAAATGTAAAAACTCTGACATGAATGGATGTTTTGTGCTGACAGAGGCCATGTGAAGAGAATAAACTATCATAAAAGAGAGGGTTACTGAAAAACTTTGTGCTCACAAATAGCATCTGTATCTCTGATTGCGGTCTGGCTGGTAACTCCCTGCTTAAGCCAAGTAAAGGAGTAGTTGCATATCCTGCGTTTTGACCTCTTCCCTAAAATTTTTAAGTTTTGCATCCTTAAATCCAATTTTCCAATTATTTCCTTTACTGGGGAGAACTTGACCTATTTACTTCCATGGAGATCACCAATGCTTAGATTAGCTTTACAGCTAAAGCACTCGCTAAATCCATTTTCCATGTCACCAATAAGTCGCCGCGCATTTGTTTGACATAATATGGTTAGAAAGTTCAGATTTTGTTAACTTAACCCCTTTTTCTGTTGACAGCAGAAGAGATTCACAGGCTTTAAGTTGCCGTTACAGTCAGCGTCCATATATGGAACTGCTTCCTGTTCTAATGGGGATCATCCAAAAAACTCCTTTTGTGTCAATATAGTAGAAATTTTATAAAAGTGTAAATGTAAAATTATTTAACTGCATTTAAAATGAATAAGATTATGGATAACTATTTATTATTTTTTGTTGTTTTAATTGCTTATACTCTCTAAGCCATTTAATTGATTTCCTGAATAAAGTAAGTGTCCATACAAACCTTAATATTTACAAAAAGAAAGAAGGGGTCTTTGAATAATAAAACAAAATGCAGAGTTCACTTAAAAGTGAAATAATTCCCAAAATATTCAATACATTTTAGACTTTTATTGTTAATTTCTCATTTTTAAAGCCATACATTATTGTTTTCTGTCTTTATAGCTGTGTTACTCTTTTTCTCTTCTTCTCCCTCTGGAGAAAGGATGTGGAAAGTATCCCACCTCTGCTAGCGCCTCCTCCACCTATCTCACCGTCACCATCCACTGTCCCCTTCTGCTCGTCCTTTGCCATTCCTCCACTGATTCATCTCTCCACCCATCGTGAGGCAGAGCAGAGATGCTGTTTTGATCTCTTGATTTGGACCTCGATAAACCAAAGCCTTGTTGCTGCTACAGTAGAGATACTTTTAGCTGCTTTACATTAGGTGCCTTGTGCTAGTGTGTGAAATAAATGATTGTTCATGTGCTTTACGGTGCATTAATAAGTGTTTGTAAGCACTTGGATGGCATAAAGGCTCTGCAAAGCATGGATGTACGGTATGGAAGCAAACATGAATAGTGAATGGGAGAATGGAGAAATAATAAAAAGTGAATTTAAGAATCTTTTTGCAGTCTATGCTGTTTTAAGTTTGAACAAATAGAACTGAAAAAGACTTAAAAAAAATTTGCACATAAAAATGACATTACTATTTAGTTTTTTTTCAGTTTTTTTCCTATTTATATACATGTCACCAAAAAATTGAATAATAAATAAAATAAATATTGTGAGTATAAATTATTAAAAAACTTTTATTAACCCAATTTGTTGTTGACACATACTCTATTCATGCTTTTCTGACATTTTTTTCCAAGCTCTCCTCTAAAAAGGCATGCAGTAACTATCGCCTTATATGTTGGTACTCCATTAAATCTTTTATTGCAGCACCAGTCTCCCACGTTCAAAATTTTCCCACTCCCACAAAACTCCAAAAGCCTTTGTACGAGAAAGCGGCCCACAGCATCATTCCTCCTCCATCTTCCTTAACAGTGGATTTTTTTCAGTCCAGGCCAAACTGGTGTATCATCATCCCAAAGCGCATGATTTAAGTTTAGGACCCAAGTCGATGTGTTTATGTTTGTGATGGTAGAACAGGAAAAGCTTTTACAACACAGCCTTGTTTGCAGATATAAGTTAGTTTAGGTAAGTATCTATTATTCTTCAGAGCTGTTTACTGATTGTTGAAGAGCATTACTACTTACATTCAATATTTTTTCCAGCAAAATAGGAAGTCAGGAATTACTAATAAACATTTTAACATGAATTCATTTAAGAATATAGGATGTAAAAAAATGAATAATACTTAAATTATTTTGTTCGCAGAACTTAAATTATTCCCCCTCCCTACATTTTATCATGGGATTATGTTGCTGCAATAATAGATTATTATATTCTAAGGCTTCCTTAATAGTCACACCTGTACTTAATTAAAATCCTAACCTTCAAAGTTTGTAGAGCTTTATTGGAAAGAATTGGAGACCTAACTGAACATAAATACGCCATCTACACTTAAAATAGGACCTCAGTTTTCCAGCTCAGACATTTTAACTTAGCTATTTATTCAGTTTACATCAAAATCAAACAAATCATTAAAAACAGTAAACCTAAATATTACCCTTGATTGTTCTCTACCATGCAATACTAGATTTTTTTCCAATGTGGAGACAGTATTTTATGTGTCTTATTAAAGCAGTTGTGTAATTAAGCCACCAAAACCTGTTTTTACCAAACGCCAGTGCACATGAGTGTTAAACTATATGCTTAGCTTTCAATGTATAAAACCTGTTTTGTTGTTAGTTGACGGTTTGCATCAGCATTGTTTGAAGACTGACACATTGTTATAAAGGCTTTTAAAGCCACCAGTCTTACTGTATTTGTCACTGTCGTCCTGTTTGTGCAAGACGGCCTTCGTACGTAAAGCTTTTGGGGTTTTTTTGTGATGCATCGTTGTAAGAAATCTGTACATCTCATAGCTAATGGTGTGGACAGACCGCTGTACCCTCAGATACAATACAGGAAAATGTAAACATCGTTATTTGCTAATTGTTGTACAGCATTTGGGTGTTTTTGTATACGGTTTTTAAGAGTTATAATCAACATTTCGTTGTGGATATTTGCCAATTTTTGTTTTTCTTTTAGCGTTTAATGGCAGACGATTGTACATTTGCTCCAAATAAAAGCCACGAGTGGATGTATGGGTAAAAAGTATTTGTTTTTTTTTTATGATTAGAAATGGTAATATCTGCCTCAATAAATCAGAACATTATGAAAGAGTAATATATTTCAAATTACTTTTTTTTTTTTTCTTCCTGATCAGTTAAAATGATTTTTGATTCAAAACAATTTGGCCATAGATGTTTTCCCTTATGAAGACAGTGATTGGGGATAAGGCACAAAGGTTTACTTTAACAGCTTGCTTTTCTTGCTTTAAGGGGAAAGTTTAGCGGAAGGAAAAAGTGGAATAAAATAACATGCAAAATTTCAATCTGAGACCATGATTTCCTAATAAAATACAAAATGTAATCCAGTCTCTGAAGAGGACTTAGGGTAACAATCATTGTAGTCCATGTGAAATGCTTCTGATGTTCTAGTGCAGGAGTTACTTTATGCAAGGGCTGTGACCTTTGTAGCTTATTTCCTGGATTTAATCAGATGCAGGCTTTTGGAGAAATTACTTAAATTAGAGTCGACTTCTTTTAGTTTAAGTTTTCTTCAAAATTCTCATAAAGACTGTACTATAACCCATAAATATATTTATATACAGAACAAAGTGACAGCTTCTTTAGACCCTGTGTTGCTTACCTTCAAAAGGTCCATCGCACACAGTTCTTTTGCCCAAAACATTTCCATATTATAAGTTATGTTTTTGTTCCACTTCAGGATTCTTTGAAAATTG